CCACGCTCGGTATTGATGTATATGAAAGTCTGGGATGCTGAGTTGGTGGGTAGCATGCAGGTGGGAGCTGGCTGTGACCTTCAGGCGATCGGGCCGGCGAGGCCGCTAGCTTGCTGCCGCTACCCGCTGCCGGCACCGTATGCTTCCCTGAGCTGGTGTGAGCTGCTGTGCTGGTGCCATCTGGTCTGGGGCTCGGTAGTGATGTATATGAAACCCTGGGATGCTGAGTTGGTGGGTAGCATGCAGGTGGTTCTGGCTGTGGCCGTCAGGCGATCGGGCCAGCGAGCCCGCTATCTTACCCCTATTTTGAAAAAGCTTTCATAGCTCAGCTCTGTCAGCCACGATCGTTCCGCTGTCTGTGGGTGCCAACAGTAGCAACTGAATCGCCTGGCATTCAGTTCCATGCTGCGTTGGTGACCCCATACATTGGTATTGTATTGACAGCATGTCACTAGCAAAAGTTGCGTTCAGTCGACTGCCCTGGTATTGATGGCTAGCCAACATTTACGCACACGAGGTCATTTGCGCCTCAAACGCTTTGCCTTGTTGCCCTTCGCTGCCCCCTGTCTGGCTGCCACAACGACCTTATCAAGCCCCTCTTTCGCTCCCTTGCTCTTCTGCTGCCGCCGGTTCATTAAGCGCCTGTCAAGGGGCCAGTAAGCATATGGCTCCACCTTTGCCGAGCCCTTGACATCACCACCTGCAGGGAGCACAAGGATATGCTGGGGAGCAGCTTCATTCAGATCTTTGCCATGTCCAAGTGCCCTTCAGCAAGTCCAACACCCCTGCCTTGCACCTCGCACCTGTCCCCTTCTTCTTTGACTTGAACCGCTCGCCGCTGTGCTGCGAGCCCTTTTGGTGCTTCTGGCTGCGCTCCCCGTGTGACTTGACGCTCCGGCCGCCAACCGACCTCCCGCCCCGCGACAGCGCGCCTGTTGACTTGGCACCCAGCGATCTATTGCCAAGCGAGGCCGCGATACTGGGTGCCAGCGCGACCGACTTGGCACCGCGAAGCGCTAGCGACAGCCCCGATCGCTCAAAGCCCTTGAGGTCCTCAAAGTCCGAATCCTCAGAGTCCCAGCCATCATCCGCGCCGCGCTTGCGCTTCATTGCCTTGTCATCCTACAGGCAGAAACAGCAGCAACCGCAGATGG